AAGGGAGAAATGTGGGATTCACATATAAAGGAAGTATAAAAATCAAATGAATAATCATATCTGACTTGATTGTTTATAGTTCATGATGCATGATCAAAACCGAAAGTTTCTGTGATATGACTGTCCTTGCACTGTTCACCATGCAATAACTTATTCACCATGTAAGAACTTGTTCATTATGCTTCAGAATATTGGAGACTGTTGAGAATTAGGCTTGGGGTTAATTAATGATTGTGCATTGTGTCCCCTATGCAGAATGTTTTTGTTGTTAACAACCATTTGGTCAATAAATATGAGAGATGCCCTCTCAAAAAAAAAAATGTATTTCTGTTTTCTCTGGTATTTCCATACCCAGCTTCACTGTAACCTCTTCTACTCTCTTTAATCCTTTGAAATATTTGACTAAGTAAGTCCCCCCGCAGCATGAATAGAGTGTTGGTTTGGTAAGCAAGAAGTGATTTTTCAGTCTTGAAGCAGACAAAGAAATAAATACAGAAAAAAATCCCCTTTCCTCTGTTATTTTCCCAATTCAGAGAGCAGAGAATGGAAAAATAAGGCTGTATTTTCATTTCATTATCTTCATTTTTCTTAATGACTGCATTTTTTCTTCTTTATCTTTTATTACTTCATTTATCTCCAAGGGTGAAGAAAAGGTGGAAAAGCAGTAATTTATTTCAATATCTATAGTGCATCAGACATTTGTACCATGATTTCCTAATAGATAACATCCTCTCCATTTTTGTAATGAGGTAACTGTGATTTAAAGAAATTATGCCACCTGCCTAGGTGACTTAATTGAAGTAATTAAAGCATAGAATTTAAACTTGTCAGTCTTGATTTTTTTCTAAATTATACACTTCCAATTTTAGGGGTATGGATAGTTCCCTTCTTTTAGAATTGCTCTTACAACCTTTGTGAGCATCTTCAACATTCTGTGACGCAAGATATATTTCCACTCCATTAGGGAGAAGAAACTGAGAGAAAAATACATGAATACAAATAAACTATGTCTCTCATCTTTTTTTGGTAAATTTTTTGTTCATAGCTTTTGTTTGATTGGTTTGCTTCAACATTCTTGCCTTTAATTTTAGCAATGAAGACCACTGCATTTACTGATTCAAGGTTATTTTATAGAATCACAGACTTTTTGGAGGAAAGGATGTTTTATTATATAAATTTTAAAAAAGATAAGTCTTTTTTTTTTGGTATTACTCAGTATGCCATTAATGCCCAGTTCAGATCAAAATATGATAACTTTAGACTTAAATGTAGTTGTCTTTCCATTTTCAGTCAGGCAGCTTCATCATTTCCTAAAGTCATTTTGTTACAGTCTCATTACTCTTATCATTGTGTAAACTCTTCTTCATTACTCTATTGAGGTCACCTTCAGTATTATCTAGAAAACATATTTTTAAAATCTTTTTGCTAAATCTCTGATCTGCCCACAGAAAAGGAAATGTAATTTTTTTCTATGTGCTGGTTGGCATAAGGAGATTGCTAATAGAAGTGAGTTCAAAGCTCAAAAGCTATCAGAAGTAATTATTTTAACTAGATAAAGCATACTAAAGAAAGCTATTGTATGAGGACTAAAAACATCAGAGAAAATTATATACAATTAAGTAATATTCAGTTGGTCTCATAGTCTAGTTGCTTCCTTTCCTCTTTGTAAAAAGCGTTCTATTGTAATGGTTAGAAAGCATGACAAAGTCCATTGCGTGGTAGTTAACTCCTTCACATTGGTCAGAAATAACATGTTCTGCTCTGAGTGACTCACTGACAAAAAATCATCAGTTTAATCAGGGGAACAGCACTGACCATCCAGAGAGGGAAATGATGAACACAGCTATACAGTTACTGTTAGTTTGATACAGACTAGCTTTTTGCTGATTTATTTTCAGAAATTTCTGATCATATTTAATTTTTCATAAACTTACAGTGTTCAAAAAATGTAGATAGGCTTCAATGCCAAAAGATACATTAAAAGGGAATGAATGGAAGGGACAAATGCTACTCTAATAAGTATCAGCAAGTGGACTAAAAGTTTCTAGTTTTAGAGAGAAGCAAACACAGTGAAATATGTAATACCGCAAAGATCGCCTTCATCAGATCCATCAGGACAATCCCTCCTCCCATTGCAGAGTTTCTCTGGCTGCAGGCAAGCTGAAGTGTCATTAGCACAAGGGTACTTGGGTGGTCCACACAAGAAACTGTCACAGTCATCTTCATCGGATTGATCTTCACAGTCAATATCTCCATCACAAACCCAGGCTTTGTTGATGCATCTCCCTTAAGAAAATAGAAACAACATGCATTTGATTTTTGTAATTAAGTCACTGTAATAATGAGTGGTCATTATTGTCTTCAGTCAGAAGCATAACTGCTTGCCATTAGCAAGAATTCTATTTGCTAATAGTTTGACAGTCTATTTTCATGACAGCATTTGAATAGTTCTGGTTGTTAAAGTGTTCCTAGCATTAAAGCTTTGATATTACCTTTAGTTCTAAGTTATTGTCTTACCCTATTTAAAAGGAAATTCTGTGACTGTTTGAAAGTTTCATTGAAATACTTCTAAAAGCAAACTTTAAAGATGAATTTATATATAAGTCTGTGTCAGAGCTCTAAATTTAAGTAAGTGGCTTATTTTCACAGGAGAAAATGTCCACCTTTTTACATTTATAACCTAGACATCTCACACCCAGACATATGTACATACAAGAATATAAAATGTTATTAAACATTCTGGTAGCTAAGAAAGACAGAAATTATAGATATGTTGTTCTTTACTTGTTTTTAAAATATTTTAAAAATATTTTTTGAATACAGTTTTTAAAATATTTTTATTGAAATACAGTTGACATACAATATTATATTAGTTCCAGGTATACAACATATACCTGCAATTGATTTAGCAATTATATACATTAAAAATGCTCACCACAAGTGTAGATACCATCTGTCACTATACAAAGTTATTGCAATCTTCTTGACTATTATATTCTCTATGCTGTAACTTTCATCCCCATGAATTATTTATAACTGGAAGTTTGTTCCTCTTTTTCCCCTTCATCTATTTCACCCATCCCTCCACTCCCCTTCCCTATGGCAACCACCAGTTTATTCTTTGTAGTTATCAGTCCATTTCTGTTTCATTTTCCTGTTAATTTTTTTAGATTCCATATATGAGTGAATTATATGGCATTTGTCTTTCTCTGTCTGACTTATTTCACTTAGCATAATATGTTCTCATGAATGACAAGATTTCATTCACTATCCATGTTGTCATGAATGACAATATTTCACCCTTTTTTATAGCTGAGTAATATTTCATTCTATATATGGACCTCTTCTCCTTATCTCTGAAAGAAAAGGAAAAGACTAATATTTAGCCAGAATATTTCAAAAGTAACAATGTGAAATGCATAGAAAGCAATGACTATTGATTCTGTAAACTATTTTTCACTGCAAATGTTTCCTCCCTCCTAGAATGTTTTCATTTTTCTACTAACTCATTATCTTTCCTGGATTATACAATATTAATGTGAATAAAAAAATGTACCTAAAGATAAGTACTAGTTATTTGCTAATTACATACTGACATCATATTAAATGTAGGGCAAATAAAAAAGAAATGGAAAATATTAGACTGCATATGTCCAAGAGCCTTTATGGATTTAAATGTCTTCTTAAATGTTAAAGGCTACTAAATTTTAGTATAATTAAAATATTGGTGAAAAGATCTTTCATTTATAGAAATATGGTAATAATTCTCTACACTCTCATAAGTCAAATAAAAACAAGAAATGATTAGCTCCATAGGTAATATAAATGCATTTGTTTTAAGAATATAATAATTCTTAAAACAAGAATTGATGGGCACTTCACTAATAAATATGACATTAATGGAGGAACATTATAAACTTTTTCCTTATCATAAATAATGCTATTATTTTAAATTGCTGTGGAAACATTATCATATGCAATTGGGCAATTGAAAGAAGTGAGGTATAAAATTAGAAAAGAGTATAATTACATGCAGTTAATATAATCATATACTATAAAATCAATAAAAACTAAAACTGTAAAAAACTAAATATTAAAACAAACAGTAGCTAGTTTAAAAAGTTATATAAAATCAATAGATTGCATATATACAAAGAGATAAAGTAGAAGAAAAGACCGAAAGAAAAAAAAACCCACCCTAAATCAAGTATTTCACGTTACAGTAAGTACACAAGAACTATATAGAATTTATATAGAAACAATTAAAATATCTTTAAAGAAACCCAAAGAAGCCTTGGATAAACATACAGTTTGGTCTTGAAGAGAAAGATTTATTACTGTGAAGATACTATTTTTCCCCAATTAATATATTCCCAATAAAATAGTAGGGATGCTATTGCAATCTATAAGTTTATCCTAAACTTAAGAAAATAAATCTGCTAATATCATTGGGGTCTTCTAAAAAAAATAGAATACGACTGATGAGTAGGAACTGTAAATTCCAAATATTGAGTATTATAAAGTGTCAGTAGTTAAAATATTTTATAACAGGGTATCAATAAATAATCAATAATTAAATAGCATAGAGACAACAGAAATACTCATTTGTGTATATGGTATTAATATACAAAAATTGGTAATTTAAAATAATAGGAAAAGTTAATTACAAAATTAATGATAGGATGATTGATTAGCCATCTGGAGGGGAAAGTAAAGCTGGACCTTTATTTGATCCTTATACCATAATAAATTCTGGATAGATCTAAGAAGTAAACACATTAAAGTGATGAAAAATGCACAAACTTTCTAGAGTAAAATGGATACTAAAGCAAGAATTTGAAATGGTTGTTACACAAAGTGAGAAAATAAAAAGAAGAAATTGATAAACTTAATTTCGTAATTATTTTTGATTCCACATTGCAACAATAAAATCCATATACAAAGTCAACAAATAATCAATAAACCAGATACAGTTTTTCATTATATTTGGCAAAAGGGACATATGTCCTTCAAATATAAAGGGCTCTTACAAATCAATAAGATAAAGATCTACAAATCAATACCAATGCAAAATTCACAATAAATTAATAATAGCTTGTAAATATAAAATGTTCAAAATATCTTTCAATTAAAAAAAGTAAACTAAAACAGCAACGTGATCCCACTTTTTTCTCTATCAAATTGATTAAGGTCAGAAAATTGGATAACACAAAGGTAGATATAACAAGGGTTTATGTAAAAGGCCCGTCAAAGAGATTGCAAATTGGGATAATCTTTCTGTAGGGCAATATTATGAAATCTAGCAATGAAAAGTGCATCATTTCTTCACCACAGTAATCCTACTTCAGATTTTTCTCACTAATATTATTTGCCCAAATGTACGAAGATACATATGCTAGGATATGTGTGGCTGCTTTGTCTATATTATCAAAAGACTGGCAAAAATTTAAATCATTGCAAGACTGGTATCAGTTACAATGTATCCATACATTGAAATTATACTTGAATTAAAAAGACTGAGATAATTCTGCATAAATTAACATAAAACAAACTCTAAAACATGTCAATAAAAAAGGCATAAAACTGAGTGTATGGAAGACTTTTTATATGTTAAGAGAGATTTATTTGTTTACCATATCTTCCATACACATATCAATATAAGTACATGAATAGGCTTGTCTCTACATGAATTCTTTCTGGAGGGCTACACAGGTAATAGAAGTGATTGCCTCTGGTGAAAATACTTGAGATACTGGAAACCTGGAGTAGAATAGAGAGGGATTTTTCATGAATGCTTTGTGCTGTTTTATTTTTCTTCTATCATATTTCTGTATAACTTTTCCAAAAAATAAAAAAAAAGGGACAATAGTAGGTCATTTTTTAAATGAATATGAAATGTATACACATGTCACATAAAGTCTAATAGTTTCTGAAGATACACTGTAAAAATTCTATGTTGACACAACTCTGTGTCTTACACTTTCCTAGGACTTCAGTAAATAGAAGAAAGTCATAATACCTGTCCACTGTCACCAAGGAATTTATAATCTAGTTAGCAAGACAAAATTAATGCATAACATATAATTACAGTCTAAAATTATGACATTCTGTACTGAAGCATTATATTGTATGGGGTCATTAGCAAGGAAAACAGAATGAAAGATAGTTTAGGAATAATACAGTAACTTCCAGTCTTAGTTTGGTAAATCAAGGTGCAACATTTTTTTTTCCCCCAGACATCACTAATCCAGCACAACATTTTTAACCACACATTCAAGAATGACCTTAAAAATTTTTAAACAAACCATATGTAAATCACTATCAGTCTTTTGGTCAGAATAGCAGTAAAACCTATTTGCCATCCTTGTTGCCTGGAAAAGATAAGGAAAAGTCTTATACAAATGCATAATAACTTTAACACAGACTATGTTACCAGAGATATGAATCAATATGAATATATAGTTTAGATAAAATTTACAAGTTTAAATAACTCTCTCCTCCCACTGAGTTCGCAGGGGATGCTTAAAGCTTAATTGCCTCTTCCATTCTTATTTTTTAGGCTTAAATTCTTACAAAATGAAGATAAGTGGGGATAGTAGGTATGATAAGTTTAATTAAATTTCTAACTTATGGCCATTAATTAGGCAAAACCTAAAATCAAATTAGTAAATATGCTTAAAGAATGTTGATTTTTTACTTGATTGCTATCAAGTCAAATCCTTATGTAGTTCAGTCACTGAATGTAATATCTTTGAAGAATAGATATTGCACATTTCCTTGTTTAAGCTCCCTCTTTAAATGGAAGAAACTTAAGACTTACATCAAATTAGTATTATTAGAACAAAATGGTTAATATTAAAATGTATCATAGAAATGATAAATATCAAATACATTATTTTTTAATTACAAAAATAAAACTTGCTTACATGCTCACAAATAAGTGCAAATAACCAAGTAAACTACTTGGTCTTTATCAATCCTTCTTTAAAAATAGATTACATGTTAAAAATAGTAGTAGGTGTTTATTATCAAGCTGAGTTCTATAAATATTTTTTATAGTGATGTTTTCAACTTGACAACTGTGTGTTCAAGGTTCTTATGGAAATTGTGTTTTTGCCCTTTGAGTAAAGAATAAAAATGTAATTTGGGATTCAAGATGGTGACGTGAGAAGTGAGATGGAGAATTCCTCCCAAAACCAAAAATAGCATGAAAATATAGTTAATTGCTACAATTAACCCTAAAATAGCAACAAGAAAGAAAGCTGAACCAGACAGCATGCAGACTA